TAATATCTCATGCTGTGCAATTAAACTTCTTTTAGCATCATAGAATCAACTAGGTTGGAAAAGACCTTTAAGATCAAGTGCTTTTTTACTCCAGGACTGCCAAGACCACCACTAGACCGTATCACTGAGGGCCTCATCTACACAGTTTCTTAACACTTTCAGGGATGGTGATTCCACCACTTCCCTGGGCAGCCTCTTCCAATACCTGATCACCCTCTGGTGAAGAAATTTTCCCTAATGTCCAATCTAACCCCCCCGGTGCAGCTTGAGGCCATTTTCTGCTGTGCTATTGCTTGTTACTTGGGAGAAGAGACCAACTCCACCTCACTACAACCTCCTGTCAGGTAGTTGTAGAGAGCGGTAAGGTCCCCCCTGAGCTTTCTTTTCTCCAGAGTAAACAACCCCAGTTTCCTCAGCTGTTCCTTATTGGGCTTGTGCTCCATACCCTTCAACAGCTCCGTTGCCCTTTTCTGGACCCGCTCTAGCCCCTCAATGTCCCTCTTACAGTGAGAGGCCCAGAACTGACCACAGGATTCAAGACATGGCCTCACCAGTGCCCAGTACAGAGGGATGATCACTGCCCTGGCCCTGCTGGCTACACTATTGCTGATACAGGCCCAGGACGCTGCTGGCCTGCTTGGCTGCCTGGGCACAAGCTGGCTCATGTTCAGCAGCCATCAGTCAGCACCCCCCGGTCCTTTTCTGCTGAGCAGCTTTCCAGCCATTCTTCTCAAGCCTGGAGCGCTGTATGGGGTTGTTGGGGCCCAAATGCAGGACGCGGCACTTTGCCTCATTGAACCTCATATCGCTGGCCACAGCCCAAGGGTTTTGAAGATGGAAAATAATACACCAAGCAAACAATGGCTTAAATAGATCAAATAATATTCATGGGAACATTATTATTATTATATATTATTATTATAATTAATAAATAATAATAATAAATTACTTATTATTTAGGCCAACAAAATCACATGCAGAAATCCTGGGAAATTTTTTTTTATTAAAGTGAGCTAGCCTGCTAGGGATGCCAGCCCAGCAACCAGGCCACGTTTGCTCCAGAAGTATTGAGCATTTAATATCCCAATGCACCCTCTGCATGAAGCCCAGCTATTAAACTGCCGCTTACACCGAGGGGCTCCGCTCCCACCACCGCCGCTCCGCCTCGAACCCCGGCTCTCCGCTAACAGGTGCTAGTCGCTGTCCTGGCCAGGCTCTGCGGGAGGCGGATCCCCCACCCGTCGAGGTGGCACGTGTAGGGCCGGGAGAGCCCCGCGTCGAGGCCCCAAAAGGGGGGCGAGCAGCGCTCGAACCAGGTCCGGCGGCGGAGCGCGGGGGCCCCCCGGTGGCCGTCGAGGGTGAGGACAGTGACAGGCGGGGCTGGGGAGGTCTAGCGCCTCTCCCCGAGCTCCCTCGGAGCCGCCGGTGTGGTCCTTGGGAGCGGCGCTGGAGCTCGGCCCCCGCTCGGAGAGGCTGTTTTCAGGGAACGGGAATAACTGAATCAGATAAACTCACGTTGTTAAATCAGTTAAATGTTATTAGTGGAAATCATTCTAGACTTCGCAGCTGAAGTTGTAACCATTCCTGACAGCTGTTATGAACATTATTGGAGTATTTCAGGTTGCCAATATCCGACTTCTGTGAAATATGTGTTCAGACATCACCATCCAGCTTCAAGTACTGATACCTCTGTCACAACAGCAAAAACATTCCCTTAAAGCAGTGACATGGATATGTATGTAGATGGAAACGGATCACATGGAAAAAAAGCTGTTGAGGGAATACCTGGTCAGTACACATAAGTCCAGGCAACGAATCAGCATATTAGCACTGGCCACTGCACAGACCAGACTCACTTTCTCTATCACTGAAATAGCTTTCTTCCATTGTATATGTTAAGGCATGTGCTGCCAGAAACAGGTTTATCATTGCCTGCTGGCCAGAAGCTAGTGCCGCTCCACCCTGAATGTGTCTTCATTTATATCACTGTCACTCCTCACTTGAAGTCACTGTTCACCTCAAATAGGAGTGATCTGCCCTCTGCTAACTGTGCAGAGCTGAGATCAGTCCCAGTCTTTAAATTGCAGCCACTGCCTTCCTCTCAAGTGTGCTAGTTTGGAAAGCAAAAGGCAATGTGAACACCTTTGGAACAGGAGGGCCTCCAAGCCCTGCACCTGTAAGTCACCGTCAGATGTGAGACCAACACCTCTCACACACAACTACAGCAATGTGCAAAGCACATAACGGAGGGCATCACACAACAAAAATGATATGCCAGCAGGAAACGGACTGCCTGGGGAGAGTTTACACCTTCTTAGTGTCTGGCAGAGTTATTACAATGACTGTCAAGGAACTCGTGATTGTACTGAAGTTCTCTCTGTACAAAATCACAGGAAGATATTCCATCTCAATTACTCTTCTAAAAAGAGAGCTAATAAAGTGAACGCTCCTGATTGATCGAAAAACATCACTATCCCTTCCTCACCATTTCCCCCCAGCTTTAACTGGGGTAAATTCAAATAACAAATCAGCATATTAGAAAGAATGGTAGCTCACGCTAGTTCTATTTCTGTTGCATTTGGAAGTGTTTTTTTAAAACTTGTAAAGGTTAAAGGCATGGCCTGCCAGCCATGATAGCTTGTCATCAGCTGAAATCATCCATTGCTTTTGATCAAGTGACTTTAGAACCTTGTAGTTCTGTTTTTCATTTAGTAGCCGAAGTCATAGAAGCTTTTCCAAGACTAGTGAAAAGTACATTTGCCTACATTACAAAACTCCCATAATTAGCTTTTGTGAGGGCCCAGCATGACCACACACTGCACCAATCACATGCTACAATCGTTCTGCAGGAAGTTGTGCCTGTTTTCCCTCTGAAGTCTGCCCTGTGATATCCCAGGTGTTTATCTGGTACCACTGTGGTTTTAACAACTAAATCTACAATAATTCACCTTTGGGGAAGGGAATTTTATCTGCAATAAGGTGCCCAAACCACTCCCTCTTTCATCAAGAAGGCAGAGGGACTGCAGAGTGGCTGGCAGGGGCTGCCTGAAGAGACAGCAAATAAAGTCAGTATCTGCAAGCCAACACAGCAAGTATCTGTGCAGCATCTAGTTAGTGCTGCACCTTTGTTATTCTAAAGATAAAATAGCCATGAGTGTTACCTCACGTAGAGATTATCTGTGTGCCTACACATAATCAATACCATTTCCGTATGACAGTTTACCACTTCCTATGGTTTGATCTATCTTTTTAGAAAGAGAAAAGATTCAAGAGAGATGTTTTATAATACAGATTTGAAAAAAATGAAGTTAACACTTCCCTGACAATCTTACTCTTGTCCCTTTAAACAGCCTTAGCAGTCTTCATTCTTCCTTCGATCATTCTGCATTACACCCTACATGTTGGCCCCTGTGGTTTGTCCATGATGTCTTTAAAGCAGCTGCTGAAATCCCACTACCAAACAGCTACCTTGACCTTTTGCAGTGAAAAGCTTTTGGCTTCTACCTGGAAGGAATGAAAACCAGCCATGCAGAGAGCCCTGTGTGACAGCCTTGGGATGGTTCATTTCAAACAAACCGGCATACGTATCGGGAAGCACAGTTTTAAGCAAACAGTAGTGATCCATATTAAACAGGCTACTGTGGTTTTGGGAGCAATTCTGATAGTTAGCAAACCATGGCACTGAGCAGCTCACAAATAAGCTATGTGAACAGTTAAACTTGTGCAGCCCATCACTGTGTGTTTGCATCAAAGGATAGCTGTTCAATAACTGTAGACTTTCCAAGCAGTCCCTTGAGCCTGGCAGCAAGTTTTAAAAGCTTCTCTGATTGTCACCAGGAAAACCATGTACCTGTACTGCACGTGGTCAGCCTTCCAGAGATGAGTTGTTACCAGGCATTACCACAGGCAAAGACATCTCGAGACTCATTTCCCTTCCTAGAAAGAGCATTATTGGTGTATATGAAAGGATAAGTTCTCAACTCTGTAGAAGCTTCTGATGGTTGGTTCAGCTGGCAAAACTACCGCCAAGTTTTTTAAAGCTTTGGGTTCAAACAAGTTATTTGATCTGTGTTATACGATTTAAACCTGAATAAATCTAACACCTGAAGGAAAAGTCTAAAAATAGATAAGATGCTGTTCTCTCATTAGGTAGATAACTGGAGAAGGTAGTAAAATGCAATATATTTGAATCAGTTTAAATATTAGTTCAAAAGCATCATCAATTGTGAGGTGGCTTTTTTGAAACTCATTCATTCTTGAGTTTAATCTAAGTTTTCAAAAATGGTAACACTAATGTTAACATGGCCAGTGGCAGAATGGGAAAATAATTTTTAATTACATGATAATTATGATATATGATAATAAAATTATAAATGTCACTGATAAAAGGAAAAAGAAAGGTGCTAGTTTTGAAGTCAGTAAGAAATAGTTCTGTAATAGCAGAAGATCAGCGATGCCACAGTCTAATTAAAAAATAAAATGTCGCATGAATATCAAAGGGACATCTACAGCTCTGACAGACATTGTCAGGTATTAGTACAGGCACCTGAGTTCTTCTAGAATCATCGTTGTCTCCACTGGCTCCAAACTCTGTATTTTGTCACAGTGTTCATAGGAAATCAAATGCAAAGCTGGGAACTGAACCTAGTTTTACTGTCAGAGCTCCTCCTAGAGACTTTAAAAGTTTTGCTGATGTTCTACCAGTTTGTTGGTAAACTGAGCAACTCAAGCCTGAATGAAAAGTAGTAGTATTAGAGCTAGCTAAAAATTGACTTTTAATCTTATATTCTGTCCTTGTTTTCTGTCTTCTCCTTTTCCACACCTAGAAGCTTCCCCTGAGTACAGAGGAGGCTATGTGGTTTCTGTACAACAGAAATGTCACACAACAGGAGGCTGAATTCCTGATTAACAGCAGCTCCTTCCAACTTTAACCACAACTATTTAAGCCAAGTAATAAAACAAAAAGAAGAATCAATAATCCAATCATGCCTCTGTTGCAGATGGATACACTACTGATGATATTGAATTTTACTGGAATGGAGGAGAGTCAGCAGTAACAGGAGTTGATAACATTGAACTCCCACAATTTTCTATCATTGATTACAAGATGGTATCAAAGAGAGTGGAATTTACAACAGGTGAGAACTGGCTAGTTAAAAAAGCTTCCCCCTCTTCCCCAGCCCAGAAATATCAGTGTCTAACTATCTTAGGCATTAGTCATTACATGACTTCTCTCTTTCAGGAGCATATCCTCGATTATCACTGAGCTTCCGGCTTAAAAGGAACATTGGATACTTCATTTTGCAAACCTATATGCCTTCCACACTCATTACAATTCTTTCGTGGGTATCTTTTTGGATCAATTATGATGCCTCTGCAGCCAGAGTTGCCCTAGGTAATTTCAAAATCACTGAACTACATAGATTCATTTTGTCTTTGAATACAGTAGCACCAAATCCAGACAGCTGATAGCAGCAGCATTAATTGTGATCTTAGACATGCAGCACAGGGCTCTTCATTGTCAGGAAGATGTCACCTTGCCTACATCTGAAGTTCTTGCTCTGTAGTTAGGATGGGATCCTGACTGATTTCCAATTGCCATGATGGTCTTCAGATCAGGCCAAAAGTACCTTGCTTTCAAACTGAAGCATAAAGGTCTAATTCAGGTATTTATGCCGTGATGCATCAACATTTCATTGATGTTAGAAAACATCCTTTCAGGCCAAATATGTGGCTGGAATGAATAGACAAGATCCCACTGAAGTGAGTGGAGATACACCAGCTTACAACAAATAAGCCTGGTTTACCCGTTGGTTTTTTCCCGTACCATGTTTCTTCCTACAAGTTTCCTTAATAACCAAGATCTTAGAATCATAAAATCATAGAATCATAGAATAGTTAGGGTTGGAAAGGACCTGTCATTATCTGCACTGTAAAGAAGCTTTTCAAATGATAATGCCAGAAAGCTATTTTGTCCCACCTCTATTTCCACCTCTCTGTAAATTCAACTCATTACACCTGTGCCTACAGCTATTATCTAGATGCATTAATGATGTAGAAAGAATCATGCAATGGTGGATAACACAGTGATATGGAAATTATTTACTTTACTTGAAAGCACCTCTTTAACAGGAAGAGCTGCTTTGATACAAGCATATACATCACTTTCTCGTCATCAAAGACCATCACTTTATTATAAAGCTTCCCTTTCTCCTTTCAATCCTCTGTTTTCAGTCAAAGGCTAGATACTTATTCAAGTTCCCCAGAGCAATGCAAGCCACCCTATGGGGTCAAGCAGGGCTATTGCTTTAAGTAAAGTCAGAAGCATTTCCTCACATAGAGAGAACAGCGATCAACTCTTTGCTATTCAGGTCAGCTAATATGACATTCCCTAGCACATTTATTGTAAAACTTAAGGAAAGATGTACCAAGATAGCTTGGGTTTTTGAAGGCTATTTCATTCACTCTTTAATGCATGGAAATCCAAAGAAGGTGATATTAGCAGGCGTGCAAGGATATCTTCATTTCCAGTCTTGCAAAATACATTCCCTTGGCTGTTTAGAATCTGATCACATAAGCCATAGAAGAGCATGAGAAGTGCACAGCAGGGGGCAGTGCTGCCATTACACCTTTCATGCTCACTTCCCATTCTTGTTAGTCAATGTCTTTTTCCTCTTTTCACAGGAATCACAACTGTGCTGACCATGACCACCATCAGCACCCACCTCAGGGAGACCTTGCCAAAGATTCCCTACGTAAAGGCAATAGATATTTACCTGATGGGATGCTTTGTGTTTGTGTTCCTGGCCTTGCTGGAATATGCCTTTGTAAACTACATATTCTTTGGGAAAGGACCCCAACGTCAAAAATATGCAGGAAGGAGAGCAGGACATGCTATAGGCAAGAAGAGCAGACTGGAAACAAATAGAGGCCAGGTAAAATGTTTAAGCTAATTTTTCAAACATTATTTCTGCTGTGACAATGTTGATGTATATGATAGTAGAGATAGATGTAATTTAAACACATATGTGAAAGCATTTAAGATTGTCTAGGGAAAAACAAATTTTTAAGGAGATTTCACCAACATATGTTTTATTCCATCTTCAACTGAAAACAGGGTAAGAAACTACAGGAAATGCAAATGAATATTCAGAACAAGCATTTCTTTGCAGCATGGAAGAAATACAAGAAGTTAAATATTTACAATTGCAACTGTATACATCTTTGCTGTAGAAGGTGATATAGAAGAAATGTTTATTACATAGTTCCTATTTACACACAGAAACTTCACCAAAAATAGAAAACAAAGACAGATGCTGTTGCTTCAGTGAGTCTTGATTGAAGCCCACACCACTGAGCTTCCAGGAACAGAAGGACGATGCTGCTAGGTTCTAACAGTTTTCACAGATGTCAGGATTTTTCCCTCAGGCTAAATTCAAGCAGGCCACAACTACCTCCAATTAAAAAGCAAGCCAGACAAACTCCAGGAAGTAATATTATGGTCACTTTTTTAGCTAGGAAAATTTACCAGTACATCACTGAGCACTTGCAAACTTCTATAAAATTGTTCCGTTTTTTTCCCAGTTTTTCAGAAATAAACACTTCCCTCAGGTGTATTTTGCCCAGTCTGACTCAGAGGAAAATACATCCCCTAATGAGCCCCAAATTTGCTTCTGTTCTCTGCTTTTCTTACAATACATTACATCCAAGTATGAATGAGATCTTACCCAGGCTGTCCTATAAACCCCTCTATTGTTGTGGCCTGAGGCAATAACATTTGGATAAAACTATATCGAACCTTGTGTTCAGCTTGAAGAACGAGACTGACACATAAAACCCTGACTAAAGGTAAGACTTCAGCTTGATGGATGTTTGCAATTTCACATACATGCCAGGAAGTGCATTTCAGAAACTCTGATATTTTATTAATTCCAGGGTTGTGTTCTTTGTGATCCAGCAACCACACCATTACAACCAAGCATCATTAACTGAGTCATCATGTCCTCAGTCTCACTGAACTCATGAGCCCATTAAAAGCCCTTTCCTGCATTCGCCTCCTGTCCCAGTGTGTAGGAGATGCTTTATTACAGTGGGTGCATGAATTCCGTTCAGGCTTGAAGCAGTCTCCAAGGTCCCACAGAGTATTGTCCTCCACAGAGCAGAGGAGATAAGCCACCCTGTTACGGGTTGTTGTGTGCAGACACTATCTATCCGTTTCTGTGGAAGTTAAGGAAGCAGAAAAAACAGCAAAACACACAAACTCTAACCAGCCACCTCAACAGCTCTGGAGATAACCCAGCCTAGGTGAGAAGAAGCACAGCAAGGATTCATGATGAAGAGGGAAGCAACACTTCTTCAGAGGTCAGCCTTGGCTACCTGAAGCCCTAGTGCACAGAACTAAGGGTGAGAAAGTGTAAAGGATAAGATGCAGGTAAGCTCTTTTTCCTACACATTTGGAGACTTCTTTTAACTAAAAGAAAAGCCTTAACTCGTGACTAAAAGCTTCTTTCTAAATGCTACACTGACGAAGATTATGCTGAGACCAGTACTCAGAACAGGTTAGAAAGTATTTACAACCACACTTTAATTTTTCAGAGCACCACATTCACGCACCAGCATTTTTCTGACAGAAAACTGAAGGCATACACGCTTTGTAACAGGATTTGTAAGGGTTCACACTTTAGACTGAAATTCCATTCTGAGGCTGTGAATGTTTTAAGTGAACTGACTGCTTTTTGCCTGTGCAGTGCAAGTTTGTGATTTTAGATACACACACATATGTATATATATATACACATAGACACACACATGTGAATGGATATCAATGGATTTTGCTAGCCCACTGGAGATAACATTGATGTGGGACCCAGTCAGCATTCATTTTACTTAGCATGAAAGTGCAGATGTCCAACAGCTGTATTTCTATCTTCAGCAGGAAGAATGCACATGAGCAGAGCAGTGGGACATGGTAAGGTTATGAGACCTCTAATGAAGCCAGCTCCCAGCCCCTTGCCTTCATGTTCTGAGAATTTCCACTGGTGGCATGATACTGCTACTGGAACACGGGAAAGATTTTTTTGAGCACAAAGGAAGTACAGCTGTAAGTATATACAGCTATAGGGTAACTTTTTCCTTTTACTATTGACCCATACTACTTATCCTTTCAGGGTCCTCTAAGCAATAGAAGATATGTAACGGTGCTTCTCCTCCTTGTGCCAGGTGAAGATATTTCTTGTTGCCATCTGACATACATGACTAAAAGAATTCAAATTCCTTCGTCAGATAACAAAAGCCTGAGATGTGAGCAACCCTCAGCAAACTGACTGTGATATTAACACAGTATAGAGAAGCCCAGGTGGAAAAGGAAACCATACTGCTGTTTCACATGTGGCTGTTCTTGCTCTACAGTCCGAAGAAGGTGGAAATAAAGCCTCTCCAGTTTCATAATTTATGCCATTTTAATTTTTAATATGCAGAAAAAAATTAGTTTGTAGTAAACAAGCTGTTTCTCTGAATAAAGCATAAAGACTGTTATATCTCCTTGTCCATTTTTCAAAGCTAGGTACCATGGAGGAAACTTAGCCAGCAAGAAAACATTTTGATAGTCCATGTATATAACTAATTCTGTTTCCCCAGACAATTACAATGTGAATAATCATTACACAGAAGATGTCTTTTCAGCATGAGAAAGAGAGAGGATGCAATCATAATGTGAGTGGGAAAGGGACTGAGCCATCAAGGGGCTCATAAATGGCAGCACAAGGCATGGTGTCTTCTTCCCTAGTTCTGCAGAGCATCACACCTTCCTTTCAACCTTTTGTGAACCACAAAACACCTGGAATGGAAAGCAGAGACCAGCCACTGGCTCCAAGGAAAATATGCGATCTTCCAGTATGGTGGCTACTACTGTTTTCTCCTATTGAAAGGAGAAAAAGGAATGAGCATATAATCACACAGCCAGCTCAACCTTCAAGTAAATCCACACCTGAATAAGCACACCTCTGCTGAACATAACCTGTTTCTTTGCAGATCAGATTGTGATAACACTACTGCATTTGTTCCAACAAGACAGCTTGTATGAGTAACATGGCCCTGAATCTTTCATATTAAAAGAGAGAAAGGATGTTTTTGCATTGAGACTAGAGAAAAGTTCTTAACCTTTTATCTCCCACTAGTAAACATAAAAAAAGTAGAAAGTAGGTAGGTAAAAACCCATTCTAGACAGCACTAAGTATTTGGGGCTCATCCTCTTGTCAAGGAATGCCAACATGATTTTACCCTAAAGCTGACTGACTACTTTTTATATGGTCAACACAGGACTGACTACTTTTTATATGGTCAACACGAGACTATTGGGTTAGGGTTATTTTATTACTTTAATTATTTTACACTTACAATATAATTTGATGCTCCTAATCAGGAATTGCATTTTCTAAGTAAACATGCAAGCCAGATTATTTTTACTTTTTACGATTTTTCCTGAGCACACATCAAAGCTTTTCCATCACTAATGAAGATTAATATCTGTGCTGATTTAGGCTTTAGGTAGGTTCACTGCAAATGAAGAATTAAAAATCTACAAACTCAATAGGGCTACAAACATCATTACAAGAAGCATCACCACATAAAAGCATCTGAAGAATATTTAAAGTATGATAATTATAGCAGATGACTAGCATTTCAGCTTTAGATGCTTTAACATCCTCCTCACATATTCTTCATGGTATGTCCAACAGACAGGAAAAAAAAAAACAAACAAAAACCAATTCTTCAGCTTTCTAAAATTTGAGGCAAAATTTATGCATTGTACAAACAAGGCAAAATATATACATACGTTCACGTCTACCCACATTTATTCTCAGAATATCTGTTAAGCAAGAAATCCTGTTTTCATCTGAGCAATGGTCAGTTCATGTAATAAAGTTTAGGGCATTCCAGTTAAAGAACAATAAGGTGGTATTTGAAAGAATAAACGCATTGTACCTGAGTAAGGAAAAAATATTCTGGGTTTGATGTGACCCATCTTTCCTACCTATAAGCAGGACTGAGACACCCTACTCCCAAGCAGACAACCAGCTAGGGGGCCAGAAAATGAGTAGACAGAGTCTTGTCTCTTTCATTCCCATTTTTTTGACATGCCATCCAACACAAATGTGTCAAAGACTGTGTAGAACTGCAGTACATTTCTGATGTGGGGAAAGAGCCTCATCACTGTGACATGGAGTGGAATGAGTTAAAGCCTACTGGCTGTTTCTGATGCACAGAACCAACAGCAAGACCCAGGTAACCTCATATTAAGTAAGGGCAGAAAGATTTTAAGACATCAAATTTACAGCTTTTACTGTGTGCATATTTGCTGTTATTTCATTCTAGTGTTAACATAAAAAAAACTAGTAACAAATCTCTTTTGTGTATCCCTTAACAATTTGTACTTTTTCCAGATTCCAGACATGGGAACCATTAGAATTCCTATGCTTCAGTAACAAAACCTCAGCTGCACAAGTTTTAAGAATATTTTGGAGTGAACCTCAATAAATTCTGAAAGGGTTTTTAATAATGCGGGTAATTAACTACTAGTCCAGTTTCATGTTGCAGAAGCAGAGAATTTGACCCAGGTACATAAGAAGAGCCTTTATATTTTTCCTGGCTACTTTATTCAAGATCAGTGTAAGATTCTTTGCTCTGAATCACAATGACTGCAATTCACAGACTGGATTGCTTCATGATGTATACAAATCATCCTGCCTAAAATGATTTAAATAAAACTCATTCTAAAATATATCAGGTTCATTTGTAAGACTTAAAGTGGGAATTCATACACTGCTTGGCTTATAATAAACTGTCAGGGCATATTAGTTTAAGAAACATCCATTTAGATTATAGGCAGTTATGAGTTGTCTTCACAAAAGAGAAGCCATAATAACAGTTTAATGATGCTTGCACTGCTGTTATTACTATTATAACACTAAAGTCAATTAGATTAAACATTAGGTTATATAATCAAAGACAGCTCAAAGAGCTGGGGAAAAAAATGGGAAAATACTGAAAACCTATCAAAACTTCTGAGGATTAAAAAATATCTTTTTACATGGAGACTGTTGCTTTTTCCACAGAAAATGTCAGAACTTATGAGTAATGAACAGTTCCATAGTTACGGCAATCCTCTGGAGAGTAGGAAACCCTACCTTAGATCTTCCTTCTGCTTAAATTTGAATATATTTTTTTCTCAAGTAAAGATTGCAAACACCATGCTGATTTATGACCAGCTGGCCTCTCTAACCCAGAATATGCAAGCTTTTCCTACCAAAACAGTAGTGGGAAAAGGGATGCCTCCACTGAATGCTTATCTCAACATAAACAGAACCAATTGCTAAACCAGACTAGTGCATTTTCTGTCTCTGGTGATATATTACTCCATTTAGAAGACCTTTTATTTTTGTCTCACAGTTCTCCTGTGTGGCTTTTGTACAAATAGCCCCTTCATTTCTTTGTTTTCAGTTAGTAAGTGCTCAGTTTGGCACAGTGTAAATACACCAGCAGTCATCACGCAACATTTTCTCCTTCTGGTAATGGGAAGGAACAACTTCCATGCTGCCAGGTGGAACCAAGGCTTCTCTGGCTTCCAGCTTTCCTCTGCAGTAATCCCCAAAGACTGGATTTCCCCATGTGCTCTGCTTGGAGTTTTTTCTTGAACATACTTCAGACCTGCTGTAGATTATTATATAATTTCCTAGCTCTGCTATGTCTTACTATAAATTTAAAGCTCAGTGTGAACAAAGTATTCCATATCACTTGTGCTTCACAAGACTATACATTGTCAGGAATTACTTTTTCCTTGGTATAAAGGCATTGCCAGACAGCCATGGCATAGACTGTAATATACTTAGTGTAGGTCCAACACCACAGTTTACAACAAACAGTTTTAATACTCAAGTCAAAGTCTTTGAAATTTCATTTAAAAGGTCTGTGTCCTAATGTGTATTTCCCTCATATGAGCTACAGTGGACATTTAAATATCTGGGAATTTGAAACTTCTAGGAAGTCTCTATTGGAGAAATCAGGAGTCATTCTGGAAAGACACAAGACACTCTCTAAAAGAGGTTTTACTACAAACAAGCAGAAAACTAAAGATGAGTGAAAAGTAAACACTTCATAGTAATGTAGCTATTAATGGTTAATTACATTCATATGTGAAAAATGCAATGATATTCAAATATTATTTCTATACACAGATCATTGTTTGTATTGGACATGTATAGACTGGTTGCAGTTTTCAGTCCTTTGCTTAGGCATGTAAAATAGTGCCCCGACTGACTAACAGCACAAATAGAGTGATAAGAATATTTGAAACAACTGCTTCTGGTACCGACATACAAAAATGCACCTGAATATAAGATTTTATTGGGTAAAATGGATTATTCTATCTGCATATGGGCAAGTTAATGGTGTGCTGTTGCAAGTAGTGATTTCCATCTCTGTAGTATAGCAAACTTCCGAAATTCATAATCATCAGAAGCATTTTACAATAACTGATAAAATGCACATGTACCTACATGCTCTTCATACAATGAACCCATTGTTACACAGCAGGTTTTGAAACTAACCTACAGCACTAAAACTGTACAGAACTATAAAATGGGAAGAGACAGCAACATTTAATTTTCACCTTGAGTATTTGAAAGCTTCAGGTCACCAGACATGAAAAATCAGTATTTCATAAAGACCATGATCTAACTCAAAGATAAAATTAGAAAAGTCTTACTTTACAGGGGATGAGATAGCTAGCTGAAT